CTGCTGTGCGCCGGCCCGTCCAAAATCCGTGCACCATGATTGCGGGTGCCCACCCACAATACACAATGCTCGCAAACCTGCGGGCGCCAAGAATATACACCATCACCACGTCGATTCCTCCGCCTTCCTCTACCCTCCTATTTCTTTCCCCTTTCCTGGGGGAAGGGGTGAGGGAGGTGGCGGTGGTGTATATGTTTGGGCCCCGTAAAACCCGCCGTGACGCTGCATTGGTTCTGACAAGGGTGGCGGGGTGTGGGGTGTCAACAGACTGCCCGATGCGGCGGACCTGGTGCGCGTGGCGCACCTGGCATGTGCGGTGCACCTTGCTGGCTTCGCGCACCTAGCTGGTGTCTGCGTCGGTTCCCGATGCTTGTCGATGGCGGCCACTGCTTATGCTGAGACGCGGGTGCCTTCTACTTAGTGGGAGGGCGGGTGGGAGGGAGCAAGACAGCGTGCAGCATTCCCGCGGGGAACTTGATCACGGCTCCTGATTAGTATACACCCCTCATTATACATCCCCTCCCTCGCCCGACAGGCGACAAACTCGAGCCAATGACGACACTCCCCATGCCACCCTGGCCAAGAAACTATACAAGGTGCACGTTGACAGGGACAAAGGGGGGCGGGGTATTGCCTGCTGCGCGCAGGTCCACCACCCCTGTCAAAAGCCAGTACGAACTACAAGCTACGGCAAAATCTGTGTCAAGCGCGAGCGCTCCGTGATCACTTTACATATATTATTGGCAAGGATGATGGGGGTGCCCTGGCACGCGCTGCGCACCTCGCGGGTGTGGGCACCTGGCTGGCGCCTGCGCTGGTTCCGTGTCGATGGCGGCCCGTCTGTGCTGAGACTCGGGTGCCACGCATGCGTTGGAATGGCGGGTGGGAGTGAGCGAGACGGCTTGCAACTTGCGGGTAGCTCGACCCATCCGCCTACCCCCTAACTCTGGGTCTGCACGAGGGGGGGGGTCGCGGAAAGTTAGCGCGCCCAAGATGGCCCAAGCTTGGTACAAGAGGGCCCCAGATATCCCAAGATAGATTCAAAGATGGCGCAAGATAGCACAAGACCGCTCAAGCTGACTTCAAATATACTCCAAGTGGTCCCAAGACCGCTCCAAGACGGGTCCAAATGGCCGTGGGGCCCCCCGAGGACGAACATCCGCTCAAAACCTAATGAGCATCCATGATGTTGGCCGTCTCGCCCGTTCGCTTCCGATGGTCACTCCGAGGCCTCAAGATGGTTCCAAGAGGGCCCGAGAGAAACCCACGAGGGGCCAAAGAGTGCTCCAAGACGGCCCCGAGGGTGTCCAAGAGCGCCCCAAGAGCGACCCAAGGGGGGCTCCAAGAGGCGACGTCAAGAGTTCCAAGGAGCGGTGTTGATAGATGTCATCCGAGATGGTACCAAGAAAGCTGCACGGCTTCCAAGAGGGCCCCGCGAAGGCCCCAAGACCACGGGAGGCCCCTGAGCGGCCCCCAAAAGGCCTTCAAGACGCCTCTATAGAGGCCCCTGTGAGCCCCCAAGAGGCCCCCAAGACGCCCTCAGAGGCCACCAAGAGCCCCCGAGGAGACATCCCAAGCGACTCCGAAAGGTATCCAAGAGCCTCGAGTTCACTGAGGCTCCCCGAGGTATCGAAACAATGCCATGCTCTCCCGATCAGGGCAGCTCCCCTAGGCGTCGGTTCTGGATTGGCGAAGTGTAAGAAAATGCGACAAAGCATGCAGGCAGATGCATCAGCGCCATGCCAGAATAAGACCCCTAGTGGACGTTTCCCATGTGACCCCTGCAACTACTACGAGCATGAAGATCATGACGCACACAGGGGAAAGGGCTGAGTAGCAGACGTGTCCGCTAGCAGTCATTGTCATCGCCATCAGTCAGCTGTCTGGGCGCAAACCTAGTAGCGCTTATGTCATGTTCAGTACAATTGACACCCCGTCGAATGGCATAGCCGCAGGCTGCTCTTTTACAACGTACTTGGTCCAAGTATGTTCCGTCCCCCCTCCCCCTATCAAGTTGGAGCAAAAGGAACAATGAAATTCACCTCACGCTATTCGTAGACTACTTCTTAATCACGTGTGTCACTGAAGGTGTGCGGGCAATGGTCACTACTCTTACGCATGCAATGGCCAATATGTCTGACCGAATCGTCGCAGTCGTGAACTTCAACGTGGCACTACGTATAAATCTGCGAAGTTCGCAGGCAAGCTAAAGTTGGAGAGCATGCTGATAGCATCCTTTGAACAGCACGGAGGTCTCCCAAGGGGGTCTGCGAAGACCAACCTCAGCAGTGACTTTTCCGCTGGTGAACTGACATGCAAGAGCAATATCACGTCTACTCTGCAAGGGCATATAGAGGTCTTTAAGGGACCCAAACGGAAGTTGTATGTCTTGACGAAGGCAGGAGTCCCGATGACTTCCATGCCTGTCCCAGGCCGTCAGAGTTCTGATGTCCACGGTGCGAGTAGTCATCGGAGCTTCACGTAAGGAGCTGATCGTTAAAATGCCTCAGGATATCAGGTTCCCCTTCCAAGACCAGCTCGAAGCTGGGCATGCTCATACCCTTGGACGATCCAAAGTAACGGCGAGCACTTGGTCCTGTAATGCCATGGACAACGATAGTATGGAAAATAGCAGTTGAAGGCTGAAGGCATGAGTCAGTTTCACGGTCCGCTCTAGACAGGTTGGCCAATCCTGTCCAGTCGAATCGACATACGTCTTGGTCATCAGGTAAGGGTCTGTCGGGAACAGGACGTCTGTCTTTGGAGCACATCGGACAGGAGTTCGACGGGCCAGTTAGGTTCGCAAATGCCCATGGTCTCTCGTACAACCTTACAGACACGTCTCCGCAGATGCTCCAATGATTTAATGCAGAAGCAGCGGCGTCACTAGACAGCACCTATTGCAGCAAGCAAAACGTCGCCTCCCAATGAAACGTTAAGAGCCTCCTGCAGTCCATTTATGCATGCGTACATCTTTATAAATATACATCATAGATATACACGTAGATGCAATTCCAAGTCCAGACAGCATGCTACTGGATATGAAATGGATCCGAGGTGTCCAGTATATGGCGACGCATCGGAGTGTCTTTCCCACCGCTGGCTGGAATATATTGGGACGGACGCCTGCAGGGAAGAGTGGATCAACCAACCAATCAAAGATGCACGATTGCACCCATAGGGCGGTAGCCCGAGAACGTCCTTGGTGCCATGGGGCCTTGCCCATGAGGTCCCACCACACAGATTGCCCCACATAGATTGCACCACGCATTGCCCCTCATAGGGAACACCCTATACATCGCATCATACATTTGCACCACCTGTATTGCCCCACACGTGCTACACCACACATAATGCACCACAGTAGGTGCAACTCACAGGTTGTACCGAACATGTTGCACTAAATGCTACGAACAACAAATATTGCATCACCCCCATGTTGCCCCGCACAAATGGCAACACACATATTGCATCACCAGTCACGGTGCTCCACTGCTTGGGGTCCACGCTAAGACATCTAGACTAATGGCTAGCCAGAACGAAAGTCCCTTTACCAATTATCCCTTGCGCTTGCCACCTACTCGTCGACCACATTCAACAATGCTTCACGTTTGTACCCAACTCTTCCCTCTCTAACCACTGATCTTCTGCCTATTCTTCCCCTTTCCCTTCCAACCGTCTCCCTTTCTATCCGGCCCCACTACGCCACAGTCTCCTCTCTCCCGCATCCTCCACCAAAATGGTGCTCCCCTCGACCCACCGACGCCAGCTGGAGCTGCCCGTTGGTGGTGTGTGCACAACTCCATGCGGGCCCCGGTGGTGCCCGGGCCGAAGTACTGGCCCACAGGGGAAACCTGGGAGGGAGACGGGGAGAAGCCGAAGGATTGACACGCGGGGAACGCTGAGCTGGCCTGAATCCAAACCTGAATCTACTAGAAGATCTGAGGCTGGACCAGAGCCTGTGAATCCATCTGGCTGGTTCGAAGTCTAGGTCTCAGTCTGAGTTTTAGCCTAGCTTCGAAGTCGGGTACATGAGGGTCGGGATCGGATGTGCATCTGAGGGCAAAAACAAGAAAGGTACGAGTAGAACAAGGGGCTGAGGGCCGGAGCCGAACGAGGAGGACGATCAGGATGAAGAGGAGAGGAGAGGAGAAACGAGGAGAGGAGAGGAGAGGAGGGGAGAGGAGAGGAGAGGAGAGGAGAGGAGAGGAGAG